GAGAAACCCCTATGGCTGCCCTGCCCAGCCCGATCCTCCGCCCAGGCCCAGCTTCCCAGCACTTTAAAAGGAAGGCTGAAGGGCTGTGCCAGACTATTCCCATGGGGCGTCTCCGAAACATCCAAAACATTTCCGAAACATTTTGGATGGTTCCTTTTCATTTTGGAAATGTTTTGGAGCCTTCTGTTTCATTTCAGATTCGGTATTTTGGGTGCTGAAACACCTGGTGGCAAGGAGCACAACCAGTCTGGCCAACCTGTATCACATAGGGCTTCCCATGAAGCATGTGCAGCTCCCAGCACTGATGTGGCACTGACGTGGCACTGGAGGAAGCCTCGTGCAATAAGCCAACTGTGCATGCCTGGAGCTGATGCTGGAGCTGTGGAGCCTGGCACAGCTGTTTGCAACCTGCCCGCTGCTTGCTGCAGCTGCCCAGAGCCCACGCTGGCTACAAACAGCTGCACCGGGCTCCAGAGCCCAGTCACCAGCTCTGTGCCAAGAGCTGGGGAGAGACCAAGGTTGCACTGCCTTAGGCCCCTCCCCCACTGCCTGCTCCAGGGTGCGTGTGCACGCACCACTACAGAGCTGATGCCAGGGTTCCGGAGCCTGGCGCAGCTGTTTGTAGCTCCTGGCTGCAGCCGACCCAAGCCAGGGGTAGCTGCTGACAGCCACAAAGCCTACCATGTACCCCCTCCCCTCATTTTTTTTTTTCTGGCATACCGGCACTCCAGCACCTTCCAAGGTAGACGTTGTGGTGTTTTTCGGCACTCTGGCAAAAAACATTGCCTACCCCTGGTATAAAACATAGGTGACAAAACTTACCCAAAACTAATTCTGAGAACATTATAAAAAGGTTGAAAACACTCTTCTAAGTTTTCAAAGCTTATTAACTTATCATCTGCTACTATTCTAAATGAATGTGTTCTTATACAGCTATCACAATATGTCATAGTAAATGAACAATAGTCAGTCATGTTACTATGAGGTATGTTAGGATGTGAACTTATATAGAGTCAGCAACTCCATTGTAACAGCCTATGTTCACCCTCCTACCCACAGTAAATGCAAGATATCTTACTCTTCAGTGTAAGAGGCTAATCTTACAGTAACTACTACCCTAAGGAAACAGAGAGGTAAGAAAAAGAAAAACTGATCCATAATGATAGCCTAGACTACTTGATTACCAAAAAAAGTATCTATGTCATTAAAATTTGGCTGAAAATAACTGTCATAATATGCCATTTTTATTTAAATCTCTCCATAATAGAATGGTTTCAGTAATACATTTCATGTGTGTCACTGCTCCTGTAGAACAACACAGCTAAAACCTATATTCCTGAAACATGCAAGATATCATAATTAGCCATTTTGACATGAAAGCGTGATAATTTTTACAAAAAAGAAGCGAAAATTCAACACCCTGAGACTTGAAGAATACCACCCCTGGCCCAGCCTTTGGTTTGAGCTGAATATGCACATCTGCTAACCAACCTCTACACAACAGAACTGCCTTAGCCAGGAGAAACATTCCATCAACCCTCTCTCTGTGCAACAGAAAACATCTTACCAAGAAAGAAGCAAAATTCAACACCCTGCTTGCTATCAGACACCTTTGACCTTGCCATCAGGCATCCCCCCTTTCCTCCCCCTCCCATTGATCTACCACTGCAACTGTCTCTTCTGTCTTCAGCTTTTTTGGGAGTTGAGGGGAGGAGTTCCAGAGCCATTTCTGCCTCAGTCCAACTGGGCTGAGTGGGGAGCCAGGCTAAATGGCAGGGGTAGCAGCAAGTACATTCCTTCTCCCTGCTCAATTTCCCCAAAGTGTTCCCCACCAGCCTAGAAGCAGTTTCAGAGAAGAGGAACCCACCCACGCAGCTACCTCTAGCTGAGCCTGGCTCCCTACACAGTCCAGGTGGAGCAGGGCAGGAACAGCTCTGGAACTCCCCCTGCCCCCCCCCGGGCAGCTGGGGGCAGTAGCAGGCAGCAATGGGGGAAATGAGAGGGAGGGAGAAGGAGATGCCATTGAGCATGGAGGGGAGAGGGTGCCAAGAGCAAGGTGAGGAGAGGAAGAGGGAGGGAGTTTTTCCTGATTCAGGGATTTTTTAAAAGTCCCCAGCTGCTGTTTTCATGGCATGGTCTGCCCACAGCTTCAGAGGTTATGTTTAAAGTCCCAAATAAAATAAAAAAAAGTTTCTTTTTAAATTAAATGCAGTATGCATGACCACTCTTGAACAATCATACTCTGGGAAAACAGTATGTTCATGTACTAAATGAAAGCAAATTCCTTTAAAAAAATTTCACAAACCACACCACAGAATTAATTTCAAGCTTCCAAGGAAATAATTATCAGCAGTGTGAAAAGCATTTTAAAATGAATTATAAGTATTCTGACCGAGCCTTTTTAAAGTAGACCATAAGGAAAGCTGCCCACCCCCAGCAACCCCGAGTACCAAGATGCATTGGAATATTATTGCTAAAAAGAGCAGAATTGATTTTTAATCCAGATATACCAGTAAGATTAAATTGATCTTTGTTCACTGCACATGTAAAACTATATGTACTATGTAGCTACAGAAAAACTAATAAAGAAGATGAAAATATAAGAAATCTACAGGGGGAAAAATGAACAGAGAGAGAGAGATGCAGATTACAGTGGAAACATACACCTTCCCCACATGCTTTTCAACAGCAAGCCACCACAAATATGTGGCTATTGAGTTCAATGGTGTTCTTTATTAATTCCATTATTGTCCTTTCAGAAACATAGTTGTATTTAGAACAAATAAAAGACAGCATTTCACTGTGCACTACACACAGTCACCTTCTATAATTCAAGTCAAAAAAGGTCAAAAAGGCAAATTTGATTTTCTTCCTAGTATGTTTCTTCCAACCATTTATGTCAAATTAATGGATGCTGAAGATTTTTGCTGAATCCAGTTGAATGGGAAGAGCAAACTTCGTAGAGTTTGTTTTTGATTTCAGGTCATGTGTGCGCTTTTTTTTTTTAAGCTAAACTAAATAAGCCTCTTGCTAGCAGGTTTAGTCAATGAATCAATCAGCCCCCCTCAAGTAAAAAAATATATTAGAATATATATATATATTCCAAAAGAGAAGGCATAAAACTAAAATTAATATGATCAATAAACTGAAAAGTATAGATGTAGATCATGTATAATAACATTATATATTATTCTGATATGTGTATTTTATACACACGCACACAATATAAACTA